TTATTTGTCATTTAATAAGATTTTTTTAAAGATAATAATTAAGTATTTTGTTATAATTAATAATTATCATAATTATATTTTAGATTTTTTATATTCAAAATGAGATGTTTATCCCGTATATGATTATGTTTATCTATAATTAGTTATACAATTCAAAATGAAGTTTTAATTAGTTGTACTTATACACAATTTACTTGTGATCTTGAATTTAAAGTAATATGCATAAATAAACAGTACTTTATGCATAAAAATGATTTTTAAGCGTTTTTGTCAAATGCTTTATAATATAGTATAGATTATGATTTGTTTCACGAGGTTTGTTAATAACTTCGATTTCCGTCCTTCTAATTTGAAAATTGAAATTTTCATCTCTATAATTTTTAATTTATCGTTATTTAAATATAAGGGAACAAAACAATAAAAAAATTGTAACCCATAGGGACTGAAACAACATTAAACTGTGAATCATAAGAACGAAAATAACAATGAATTACAAACCATATGAACGAAAACAATAATTTTTAAACCATAAGGATGAAAATTGCAATCTTTAACAAACCATAGGGACACAAAACGTAATTTAATCTAGCTATTATCAAAATAATTACCTAATTTTATTTAAAATGATTTAGTAGATTATAAATAGGGGTGTGCAGAGAGTCAACCGATCGATCCAATTAGAACCGATCGGCCATCATTAGATATCCAATTGTAATTGGATTTGATCAGATCCAAAATTTCAACATCCAAATCGGATCGGTCGGTTCTTGGATAACAGTCCAACATCCAATAAAAACGAACCGATCCAATACAGGAACCCTCCAATTCCCATCCAATTAATAACTACATATAATTATTAGGATTTTACGATTTTTTTTAATTGATATTTATATACATTGTTTTTCAAAAACCGTATGAACATTAAAGTTTTAACCATAACTGTTTTTTTTATGATTACAGGTTGTATTTTATAAGAAATTATACCGTGTGTTCTTCATTGATAAGGTCCCGAAATCTCCATCGGGGAAGATTCTTCGTAAGGATCTAAGAGCGAAGCTAGCGGCTGGTGTTCCGAATTGATTACTTCATCTGTTTATATTTACATTTATTTACAGGCGTTTTTTCTTCAAAGTTAAAATGACTGAATATGACGCGAATTACAACTTTTAATTCGTAAAAGCACAAAATATTGAAGCTTCTTGTGTTGTATTTAGCCAATTTAAACGTTTGTAAGAATATCTGTCTGAATTAAAAGTAATATGTGGTTTACGTACTTACGTATTGTTTGAATATAATCATTTTAAGTTTGATGAGCTATTTGATAGTTGCAGAATGGTTTGGTACAAAATGATTAATAGGTTCTCATTATATAATACAAAATAAAAATATAATTGTTTGGTAATTGTTTATAATGAAATTAGGGCGTTGAATGGTTAAGGAAGTCACATGATACAAAATCATTCAGAGGGTTTTGAACATAATTTTTTTTGTCAAATAAGATTCAACTCTTAATAAATCAGATGTTGTCTCTTAATAAAACTATTACCCCTGAATGAGAAACAATTTTAATTAATTGACGTATTTTGTAATATATAGAAACGACAAAAAAACACATTATTTCAATTGAACCATACATAAAAAATAAATAAAAATAAACCATATAAACTTTTACGAGTAAAATGAACTAAAAAACTGTCGACATTTTTTAGCAGTTTGAACGGTTATTTAGAATTACTTTAAAATATAGAGAGAAAAAATAGTTCAGATTCCAGATTGAAGTTATACGAACTATAAAAAAACGTTCCTAGTGGTGTTTTTTTTTGATAGGTGTTGAAGTCGGAAGTTTCATTTCGCAACGTCAAAACAACAAGAAACAACAACAAAAACATCATAATAGCTCAGGGTGCTCATGGATTGGGTTGATCGGGTTGAAGATATTTGAACAACTCAACACAATGCTTGCGGTTTAAAAAATCTTAACCCAACTCGACCCAAACCAAAGTGCAACCCAACCCAACCCAACCCAACCCGTATGAGTTGGTCGGGTTAGTCGCATTGATACTTTGGTACATTAAAATATTATTTTAACCTTGAATATGTTATTCTCTACTCATAATTTCTTTTTTATCATCAACCATTTGACAAAACTTATCCGTACTTCTTACGCATATCACATTCAGTCGATTTTCTCAATTTACATATATATGTTCACAATTACTGAACATATATACGAATGAGTTTATGTAGAGATGTGAATATATTGAAAATATATGTATATGAAGAGCGTACGATAGTGTAATTGTCTAAGGTATATATTAATATAAATTCAACAATCATATTAAATCCAATAAATAAAATGATATCAGGTTCATCGGGTTGGGTTGAGTTCAAATAATGGTAACTCAATACCCACAGTTTGAAAATTTTACAAATCGATTAGATAACGAATTGCTTTGGGTTGAATTATTTCCCATTAGATTGGTCGGATTTTTTAGCACCCCTAATAACAACATCAAAACAACAACAAAAAACCAGCAAAAATAACCGTGTGTCTCTCTTTAGCATACACGGGAGATTCTTTAGCTATGGTTATTACATCAATGTGAATACATCTAAAGTAATTTACTTGATAATCATATAAGCTCAAAACAACCACTAAATCATACGATTGGTAACCATGAAGACTAAAAATGTAATTTATTTAAAATAATATTTTGAACATAGTAAAATAAAAGTTTAAAAATTATAAAATAAAATAAATAAAAATTTAAAGAAAGAACAAAATAGGAAAGCGTATTTGATATTTTAAAAGAGAATTACATTTTATTTTGACGTTATATTGATAAAATACAAGTATGTTTCATCTTATTCCATGGGACAGGGTGAAACAGTGTTGTTCCACTATATTCTACTTTATTTCTGTTTGTTTTATATAAATGTTCTATAAAACGTGGATCCATTGAATAATTATCCATTTTATGTTATTTCTTTAGAGATTGTTTGTTTATCTCTTAATGGTTTTATTAAGAGACAGTCTCTAAATTATTAAGAGGTGAATCTTGTTTAACAAAAAAAATTTGTCTCTTAATGGTTCTAAAACGCTTTGAATGATTTTGTATTTTGGGTCTTACTTAACCATTCAGCACCCCAATTTCATTCTGAATAATTATCAAATAATTATATTTTATTTTGCATTATATTATAAGAACCTCTTAATTATTCAACATCAAATCATTCAGCACCATAATTTCATTATGAATAATTATATTTGCACCCATCCCCATAGCGAGTAAAGTGCTTACGCCTCTTTAGAGAGAGGGGCGTGCTAGAGCCCCTTGATTATTTATACCACTTAATCATTTTACATCAAATTATTCAAACTGTTACACATTCCCTTCATTGTTACAAAAACATAAATGAAAAAAAGAAAAATAAGAAAAAAGAAAAGAATTTATTGTATGTGGCGCCAAGCGCTCCAAACTGATTTTCCATAACGATAACGTCAATAAGCATAAACTCACGCCAAGAACACACTGTTGGAGAGACCTCTGAATCAATGGCGTTTTATTGCAATTTCAACAGCACAGATCTCTCCTCGTTTACCCTCTGCAAATCCCCCAAATTCAACTGCAGAACCTCTTCTCTCTTCCCAAAATTTCAATCCATTCATAAACTGTCGCCATTTGTGGTCCGTTCCATCGCTACCTCCAGTGATTCGAACGGAGATGGCGGAACGTCGCCCGAGGTTGAGAGTAAAAAGAAGAGACTGTCGGAGCAGTCGTCGTGGGAGGCGAAGGATGCGGAGGGGAATGATTACTTGTACAGGCTTGGTAAAGAGTCTGAAAACATGAATATAGCCGTCGGTGCTAGGGCTGGTGTTATTGATGATCTCTTCATTGGAGATTTCCTCGGCAAGGACTGTATGTAATTGTTCTATTTCATGCTTTCGATTTCCGTTTGGTGTTGTGATGATAATATAGGAATTGAGTATTTGATTTATTGATTATCTCATAGAGTAGTGTGTGTTCACAAGTAGTATTTTGAGAGCATGAAATTGAAGTTGAAATATTATGTGGGGGTTGTTTAGCGACACCGGTTCATGGTTTTTAATTGGAATTGGGGCAAAACAACTTTCAATTTGAAGTAAGCGAGCTGCAAGCCTCAAGTCCGGTTCGATGTTTATATTGCTTGCATACTGACATCGCAATCACTTCAAATTTTAAGCTGGTTTTTCCCCCATTCCCAAATTCTTATCCAACATCCCTAGACTTGGACCATTTCTCTGGAACCTCCTTTCCAGTGGCTTTTTGGAGAGCAATTTAATGAGGTTGGACGTATTCTCACTTGGTTTCAAAGCCAGGTTTACCGCTCTCACTCGACACCTTCGGTCAATCTATACTCGTCTAGCCCCCTCTCGACACTCTGGGACAAATCTATACCCGTCTAGCCTCCGTTGGAGGGGGCTTGTTGGCAGAGACGGACCTAGAAATTTCTACAAGTGGTGGCTTCATTTGATTATAAGAACAAAGATGTGGATATTTTTCTCAAGATCAACATTGGTGCGGTGGTTGGTCCATTGCTTTTCAAGGTCCTATGTTCATTTCTTCTTTCAAGTGTTTTTAGAAACATAATAAATTGGAAATTAAAAGCTAAAAACTAAGAAAATGACACTGACGGTACTCAAACTCGGGTCTGGGGTGGAAGAAAAACCTTGCAAACCAACTCTACCAAGGGAAACTTGCGTCCTTATTGTAGTTTCAGAATATATACAGTGGCACACAACAAATTGATACGGTGACACTTTTCACGACCCTATAATTTTTTACGCTACGACAGAGGAATGAAGCGGTGGCTCGTGCCACTGTATACACTACACTGGGTCCGTCCCTGCTTGTTGGGCTAGGCTTGAACCATTTCTTCTTAATATATGTTGGCACCTCCCTTATTTCTTCAAGAGCTCTTTTGGAGAGTAAGTTAATAGGATTCCACATATTCTCACATTGACATGGGGCTTGAGGTGGAGAGTATTGATAATCTATCTTTTATTGCACTGCAGCTGATATTGTGTTCGATTACCGGCAAAAAGTAACCAGGTCGTTTGAGTACCTCCAGGGTGATTATTACATTGCGCCCCTTTTCATGGTATGATCTTGTTGCATTGATATCATTTTCTTTATATTATCCAACAAGAATAAGTGTTTCTCTTCTTTTTAGCTTTGATTGAAGTGAATGACTATGTTGCCTTTCCACCTTTAATGTTAATTGTTGAATGCTTCAATAGCTACATGCGTGATTAATGTTGTGCCATGGATTTCATTTTACAGGATAAAATTGGTAAGTTCCGTTGATCTAGTCATATTCAAGATGCTGAACGTGCACTCGGAAACCATTGTAACATATATTTTTGAATCTTTTGTAACTGTTCTTCTATTTATAGTTTTTAGTATTAACATCGTCGTCAGATTACATGCTGACATATTGTTATTTGTCATTAGTACTTTTTTAATCATAAGTTCTTGAGCCCTCATAGTTTCCTTGTCGCTTATGTTTTGACTTGTGCAGTAGTCCACATCGTGAAGAACTATATTGCTCATCTTCTCAATATCAAAGTTCCCTTGATTTTAGGTAAATATCCTTAAGACTTCCAATCTAAGAGCGAGATTTACATACATAGAAGTCACTTGGGGAATGTGTCCTTTGGTATTTACAGATGACTTTACCCTGAGCAGCTGAGCTTATTCGTCTTAAGGAGTCCAAACTAAGGATTGTAACTAGTCTTTCTACCTGGCCCACTTACAATTTTCAATTGCAGACTGATCCTCAAGGCTTTAACCTCATATGCTTATTCCGCTATTATATTCAGCATCCTATCTCCATCACTGTAAAAAAATAGACGTGATTCTTATAAATTTTGCATCTCTTTTAACAGGTATCTGGGGAGGAAAAGGGCAAGGAAAAACATTTCAAACTGAACTTATTTTCCAGGCCATGGGAATTTTGCCTGTGATCATGTCTGCTGGAGAGTTGGAATCAGAGAGAGCTGGTAAGATGGTTTTAGAATTGTTTTGCTTGTACGAATTACTATTTTTATACTTTAGGAAAGGCAGAAGCACATAGAAAGGAAATATCAAAGACACCTTGTTTCTATAGAAATTGTTGTGTTTAATTAATTTAGTCCATGAAAATGGGCTAGCAGGAATAAGTCACAAATTCATTACTGAGCAGGAATAAGTCATAAATTCATTACTGAAATATTAACCATGTAAAACAAGTGTAGATATTGAAGGGACTATTGTTGCTCTTTTTATCTTGTGCAACCAAAATTTGATACCTGATATGGTAGCATGATTTATTTACGTAGAGGTAAGATGTAAGCATTCCACAAGGCTTTTTTTTAAGTGTATAATATTTATATACGACAGAATTGCAACAAATAAACTCACAAACCCTCCTCACCCTTGACCTCCTAGGAGGCCAAGGGCTCAAATACCGCTAGGCCAAAGGCCCTTTGGTCCAGAAGGCTTCTTTCGGGACATAGGATTTCCAACCTTTTTTTATTATTATTGAACATGAGAAATTTCATTTGATTGAAACATAGAGTATACACTAATTTGTACATGTGTATGTTTTTTGTTGGATCTTCTATTAGCCGTAGGTCTCTTGTTAGAACACATGAATTAAGTGGCMTTTGGCTTAATGGTACACAACCCCTCGTTCGTAAAGCATGTTCTTTTGTTTCAAAAGCATGAAAATAAAAATGTAGTTGATTCTTTTATATCAAGAGAACATGCTAATTTGTGATATCAAACAGCTATATTTCATTCATAAATAAATCATACAGAGGGTTAAAATGCTAATTTGTGTCATTGAGACTGTCCATTCAAAACAGTTACCAAACAACCATATTTCATTCTGCACTATATCATATCGAGCCTCTTAAGCGTTCTGACCACTTGACCATTCTGCATCAAATCATTCAGCAACTGCCAAACATCCCCTATGTGTAGTTGAACTCGCATATCTTGTAAACTTTCCATATTTGTTACTCTTTTACAGGAGAACCAGGTAGATTGATACGTGATCGGTATCGTACTGCATCTCAAGTGATTCAGAATCAGGTTAGAAGCTTTACCTCTTTCATTATCATGTGTGTCTGCATTTGTCAATTATATGTTACATTGTTAAGTCTAAAGTATCATTATTTTCGAATTATTGGATGGTTTTGTCCTCACATCTTTTGGCTTCTTCAGGGGAAAATGAGCTGTTTGATGATCAATGATATCGATGCGGGTCTTGGTAGATTTGGTGAGCTACAGTTTAAATTGGATTGGGAAATCTGATTGGATGAAAAAATGGTGTCACGTTAGTTTCCATTTCACTCTTGTACTCACCCTTCGATCGATTTAATACTGTTCATATGTTCATAATATTTCCCTAATCTTTTTATTTTTTGAGATAAAATTCAGATCCTTATGTTTCTTTGGTTCATAAATGAAACAATTATTCTTTTGTTCTTATTCAGGAAACACTCAAATGACCGTCAACAATCAAATAGTTGTTGGCACACTGATGAATTTGTCAGATAATCCTACAAGGGTTAGCATTGGACAAGATTGGCGGGAATCAGATATCACAAACAGAATTCCTATCATTGTTACAGGAAATGATTTTTCAACATTATATGCTCCGTTGGTTCGCGACGGGCGGATGGACAAGTTCTACTGGTGCAGCTCAATCTTTTACCTTTTAGTCTTGCCTTTAGACGTTATTATGTTAAATTATAATATTGGAATTGGATGCTCTTATTGTGCATATGCGCCCCTGTAGGTTAGCTCAATGTTCTTTTCCACATAGTTTCACATATCTATTGATCCTGAACTTGATGGTTTTTGGATCGTTTTAGAAATAAGTAGTGCCATTTAGCATACACACATTCTGGACTGTCTGACAATGCAGAACATAATTAGTTATATTCCCTCGCCAATAAGTACCCTTTATCTTATACTAGGTTCATGGCACTTGACAAAGGGGACATTTAGCTAAATGACCTCGTGACAATTGCTTTTTTCATCCATAACGTTCTTACAGGTTTCTAGGCATTCTTGTGTATGGAAGTGACATTCTTCTGTTACGCAGCGACATTTTCAAACCTGTCAGAAGGTCTTGGGTTTAAAAAAACATGTCAGAAGGTCATTTAACCAAAGGACTCCTTGACAAAGAGAACTCTCCTACCTTGCCTCGATACCCTGTTTCATTACTAGAAATAAGAAGAAAAAAACTACTTGGTCAGTGGAAATGTAGGACAAGATTGTCCCTAGAGTAGCTACTAGTGCACTGTTCTTCAAAAGTGGACAATAATTTGTGATCCCAAAATGGAGAGGACAATTTTAGGGGACAAAGGGAGCACTAATTATGATATCTTTGCAGGTGATAACAATATTATGATACAGATACTGCAGGATTTCCTATAGTGCCCATAATACTGATTGTGGGCAATAAAGTAATTTGTCCATGGACCAAAACCTTTACCTTTCTCTTCATTGTAGCTAATATGGGTTGTTGTTTCTTATGAACATCAAGAAGAAGATAATTTAAATGGGCCAGTTTAATCTCATAATCTAGTTAAATTGAAATATAGATTGGTCAAAAAAATTCACCCTGTAATGTTCCTAGCTTAGCGGCAATTCGATATGTGGAAATTTGTTTCCGACCTTTGAAATCTTCCTCTTGCTTACTTTCATATGTTGTTCTTTAACTATATGAATACAAAATTGCTTTGCATCCTCTTTCTAGTGGTGGCTTGTTAGTATCACTGTAGGCTGTAGCATAGGCAGCAGTTCTGTAAAAGATGCTATATAAGCTACAGGTTTCCACTTCATATTCTAATTGGCATTGTTAAGTGGAAATCATTTAACTGTTATAAGTTACCTCTACACTAATGTAACACCTACATTTGTTGAAAATTCAAAATTGAGGCAATTGGGCTCAAGTCTAACAGTGTATTTGCAAGATGCTGATGTCAAATAACCTTGAACATGTTTCTTTATCACATTGCACCAACACGCACAAACCAGAGTGGAGGCTTCCATAACCTATTCAGAGAACAAACATAGACAGGATGACTTGACTTCAAATGTTTTGAGACTGAGGGGTTGTTTACTACCTGCTTATCACATCTTATGGGTAAGAGGTGCTTACCAGGTCAGAGATTCTGCTGTTAACCAAGTCCCTCGTACCGATCCATGATGCTGACTTGGTAAGCTAAGGGAGGGACTCTTACTTGGTCAGTGATTAGTGCTGACCCAGACTGCACTCTTACCCAGTTAGCGCTTACCCAATTTGTGTCGGTAAACGGTACCTGAAGAAGCTCCCTAATATCATTTAAGGGGCCGTTTATCAAACACTTACCTGGTAAGTGCTTACGGGTAAAATTTAACACTMTTATTTACTTATCGGGTAAGATTTTAGTCCACAAAAACGACATGGTATGCAACAATTTACCCGGTAAGCGCTTATTGTGGTAAGAGTCGTCGCCCTCACTTACCGGGTAAGACTCTTGGTCCTTGTCTCGCTCTTACCGGGTAAGATTCTTGGTCCTTATCATACTCATCCAGTGAGGTAATGTTACTTGGTAAGCGCTTACCCAGGTAAGAGTTTGGTAAACGGCCCCTAAGACAACTCAACAAGAGTCAAGTTGACTCATATCCCAATTGCAGTCAGTTAAAGAGACAGATTACATAATATACCTTCTACTAGCTCTAGGCATTATTAGACATGAGGATCCACTGCTTGTTTTCTGCCACTAGTACATACCGATACTCACTTTACGTTTTTAAAGCTACATATTGATGATAACCGGACTAATTTAAGGGATATAGAACTGTATTAGACATCAACTGAAAGTTTACAATAGGGTTTCTGGCTTTTGGAAGGCCAGATTCTCTCCCAAGGCTCTCGCCCGAAACAGACTTGACAAACTGATCAATACCCTTCTAACCGCCCACTCCCTTTATTGATACTACCTAAAGCATGCACCAGTGCATTAGATACTTGTACTATAGTCCAATATGTTTGACTTATTTACCAAAATACCCCTCGTATAACATAACATGATAATTCCAAGCTGTAGCAATGTAAATAGTTGTTATGTGAATCAATGCTCTAAATTCATATTGAGTTTGTAGCTGTCTTTCATCTCGGTCTAGTATCAAATTTTTACCTTGTATGCATCTCAAGAGACCTCAATAGTTTCTAATTGCACAAAATTGCTCCAGCTTCTTTAGCTATTTCGTTCAATACAGTATTCATCCTTCAATAGTTTTCTTAGAAGTATTGTTTGTGGAGCAGGCAGCCTAACCTCGACGATATCATAAATATTGTTAACAGAATGTATGAGAAAGATGGCATATCAAAGAATGATGTTATAAGCTTAGTGAAAACATTTCCTAATCAAGGTATGTACACATTCTTTGCCATATTTTATTGGCATGCTGCATCATCGTACATTTAATTGTTCTGAATTTATTTGTATTCATCGGTTTCCTTTTTATGCTTAAGCATTTTTACATGGTTTAATATTGCAATCTGGTATAGAAGCTAAACTATACATGCATTCTTAATTTTCCTTAAATAGTGTCATGTAACCGGACACCTACAATAATCAAATATCCTTCATTTTGATAACGTTATGTTAACTATTTGTGTAAATTGTGGTCTGTAGATAGCCAGAGTGCCTACTTCATCACTACTTCTTGTATAAGATACAGACATACAGTGCTGCCACTATCATGGCTTTATCACAATGATTCACATAATATGATGATAATTGTGTCATAACACAACATGAAACATTGTTGTGTGTGTAGGGCTGTTTTTAACATGTTAAATATATGATTTTGAATTTTAGGGGCCCAATTTTACATTGTTTATGCCTTCCATCAACTATAAAACCCTAATCCACCTTAGTATCTCTCTAATGACCATCAAAAGACAAAAGTAATACGCCTCGTCGTCGCTTTTGTAATTTGTATATATGTATCTTTGTTATCTCATTTCGTAGTGTAATCAAAAGTTGTAGGTGTAACAGGGCCTCAAAAAAGATAGGAACGTCCCTGTGTGTGTATAAGAGAAAGAATTGGGATCATGTGAGAACAAGTGAGTTTGGTGAAAACACTTTTGACCCTTTGGATGAGTTTCTTTATATGATGGCTCACAAAAAACATGGACCTTCATCTACCTTCACATTCGCCCTCGTCACCTTCACCTACTTTCACATACCTTCAGTCACCTTCACATGCATGGATTTGTTAAAGTTTCAGTCTTGGTGATACAAGTAGGCATGCAAAAGTAAATGAAGGTAGATGAAGGTGTCAGGTGTGTGAAAGCATGTAGACGAAGTTTTGTTGTTCCCACTATTCTCACCAAAAAAGTTGTTCTAATTGGAACACAACCATATATGTATATATGATACATCAAATACAAACCATACAACCCAATCTCAAGCGTTCATCTAGTGATTCTAGTCTGATGAATATCTGGTTTCATAAATATATTGATTGTTTCCTAATATAAATCATTGATCATAATTAATAAACTCTAATCATCTTCCATAAATATTCAAATCATAATAAATGAATCTTCATCATTTCCATAAATATCTTAATTCATTTGTTTGTATGGTTTGTAATATTTCCATGGTTTGTATTTGATTTGTCCTCTCTCTCTATATTATATATATATATATATATATATATATATATAAAGAGAGACTTGGGATCCATGTGAGACCAGCTTGTTTTTGTGAGACCTGTGAGACCACTTTTTTACACTTGAAACTTCACAAAAAAACGTGATGGTAACCTTCACAGTGTTCTTGCTGTGAAGGTTCGGATCTTTTTTTACCCTCACAAATTTTTGCTGTGAAGTTTCAAGTGTAAAAACGTGGTCTCATGGGTCTCATGAAAGCAGGATGGTCTCACGTGAAACCCACCCTATATATATATATATATATAGAGAGAGAGAGAGAGAGAGGAGCGATCAAATAAAAACCACTTCAATTTGTAAAAACCGTAAAAACTACTCTCATCTGTCTTAATCTTATGAAATTTTTTCATGAAATTGTTTAATCTTGTGAAATTGTTTTATATAATATTTTTTTGATGAAGTTGTTTCATATATGGTTATGAAATTGTTTCATATACTACTTAATGAAATTTTAATGAAACTGTTTCATGTATTTCTCTAAAATTAAAATAATGAAGATGATAATATCCATGATTAACACCCTCCACAATAAAAATGG